CGGTCGGCGATGAGGTTACAAGTGGTTATAGCACTAACTTACCTCAGCTGCTAGACAGATGACCTCGTAGCCGTCTTGGAGATAAGGGAGTGGAAATAGAAATTGGAAGCTCTTGGAAGGATAGTGGAAGCTAGAAAGGTCGATGGGCGACTTTGGATGGCAGTAGGAGCGCCTTTAGTGGACTAACCGATTGAGGACAGGGCTAGGAGAACTAGCAAGGAGGACGGAGATAGACACTCGGAGACTCTTGAGGGGTGTTGATCATGAGACATTGGCTAGGTATGGGACTGCGATTTGTCTCAAGGATAGAGGTCCTGTCACGGGTGTACTGCAGATCCGGAGAGGCACGGCCTTGTTGGCCGATCCCGAAGGAGAGGTTTACTTAGACACAGGGATTCTTGGGATAGAGGGAGAGCACGAGATCTGCGACCTGTACGGGATACTGGAAGTGGTAATCAAGGCAGTCGAGAGCTAAGATTGGAGGCGGACGCGAGCCGTGACAAGGAAACAGGTCCGGGCTGCCGCAATGGTCACAGGTCCGGGTTGCAGCGACTGTCATAGGGTCGGGCTGTAACAGTTGGCTAGAATACCTAACTGCGTCTTCTGGCGGTCCAATGGAACCCGACACGATGGTCCACAACCGACCACGGGCGAAGCGGGAGAGGAGTACAGGACATCGCCCGATCGAGCTCTGAGGGATCTGAAGGAACGAATTAGGTGAGAAGCACCGTTGAGATGGGCTGACCAAACCAATAACGGAGGGCCCGACGTAAGGGGCGAACCAGTTGCAACAGAGCCGTAGGAGGCTCTAAAGACGGGTACCTCGAGCGGACGACGAGAAGCGAYGAGGCGACGCTCCCCCGAGTACGAGCGGAGGGACACCATAGCGGACAGGCACAGAGACGACTGGAGAGAGAGTTTGAGGGATTCCTATTGGAGGGACAGAGATAGAGACAGGGCGCCGCCCAGACGAGTCTTCGACCCCCAGACAGGGGAGTCACATCCGCTCCCTTACGAGAGCAAGGATCGCTATATTATTACGCACAAGGCCTCAGAGCCTCTTACCTTCAGGGGCTATGGTATCACAGAATATCTGGAGAAGTGGGAGCTTCACGCCACCCGGAGTCAGTGGTCGGAGGAAGAGATTATAGAGAACTTCCTATTTAATGTGGACCAAAGTCTCAGTAGGGAAGTTAAGGAAGCTCGACCGAAGGATGGGAAATGGACTACGTACAAGAAGAGCCTCGTTGAGCTTTACAAATTGGAGGATAACAAGTATTTCATCAAGGACCTTGAAACAATGACTCAAGATGAAGATGAGAGCATACGGGCATTTGGGATGCGTTTCCARAAGATCTCCGACGTGCTGATGAAGAAGGGGAAGATCTCAGAGGTCGAGCGCTGTACTATCTTCATCGGACACTTGTCCAAAGGTAGACAAAAGAGTATACTTAGAAATCTTCCGCGCGACAGGCTTGATTTCCCAGAAGTTCTAAAGCTCTCGATAAAGGCAGAGGCAGATGATTACAAGGACTTGGTGTGGAGAGGGATGAGGAGACGTGACTTCTCTCTCTACAAGGAGTATGCCACTGATAGATGTCCTGATTTCAAGGACTATCCCTCGTCGGAGAAGAATGAGGCCGTGGCTGAGGAAGTGAAGGAGATACGGGACATGGTGAAGGGATTGACGAGATAAGTTACAGAGATTGTGACCACTACAGGAGCCACGGCCTACCGGGACAAACATGGAGGGCCCTATTCACTTCGCAGGGACCGTAGGAACAACGATTCCTGGAGGAGTGTCGAGGATGGAAATCCTCGGACGCTGACTGATTATCGTATGAGGGGAAGAGAGAGAGACGATGAGCCATGGCGACGTAGGGATGATGAGATAGACCGAGACCGCAGAGATTTTCTTTTTTTTCTTTTTTTCTTGCCAATATTATTTTTTTTTATTTATTTATTGAAGGATAGTAACTATTTACATGTATAACTTTGACTTGGGGGTGGTACAACCAAGGCGACCGACGCGATGTGTCACGAGAGCGATATGACTCGGGGAACCGCCGGAATACTTCGCGAGGGCGATATGAGCAAGGAGGGTCTGGAGGAGACCGCCACAACGATTCGCGTAGTCGAAATGAGAAAGGGGGGTATGGCGTCCAATCAGAACCATATCCCAAGTCGCCTGACCCCAAGGCAGCCAGGAGTTCGAACTCTAGAAGCGCAGACGACAGGCCATCTACTCCCAGGAACTCATGCGTCTACTGTAGAGGAGAAGATCATATCAAGAGGGATTGCCCGGACCTCAAACGGGCAATAGATGAGGGACTTGTCGTGCTTGACGACC